AGGGGCTCCTGGCCTTACTACTAGGAACAAGAAGCTACTAGGGGCTCCTGGCCTCACTACTAGGAACAAGAAGCTCCTAGGGGCCCCTGGCCTTACTACTAGGAACAAGATGCTACTAGGGGCCCCTGGCCTTATTACTAGGAACAAGAAGCTACTAGGGGCTCGAAGCTACTAGGGGCTGCTGGCCTTACTACTAGGAACAAGAAGCTACTACGGGCTCCTGGCCTGACTACTAGGAACAAGAAGCTACTAGAAGCTCCTGGCCTAGGAGAAAGAAGCTACCAGGGGCTTGAGCCCTAGGAAAAAGAAGCTACCAGGGGCTTGTGGCCAAGAAAAAATATACTACTACGGGCTCGAAAAAGAAGCTACTAGGGCTCTTGGCCATACCACTAGGAACAAAAAGCTACTAGGGGCTCCTGGCCTTGCTACTAGGAACAAGAAGCTACTAGGGGCTCCTGGCCTTACTACTAGGAACAACAAGCTACTAGGGGCTCCTGGCCTTACTACTAGGAACAAGAAGCTACTAGGGGCTCCTGGCCTTACTACTAGGAACAAGAAGATCGTAGGGGCCCCTGGCCTTACTACTAGGAACAAGAAGCTACTAGGGGCTCCTTGCCTTACTACTAGGAACAAAAAGCTACTAGAGGCTCCTGCCCCTACTACTAGGAACAAGAAGCTACTAGGGGCTCCTGTCCTTACTACTAGGAACAAGAAGCTACTAGCACCTCCTGGCCTTAAGACTAGGAACAACAAGCTACTAGGGGCTCCTGGCCTTACTACTAGGAACAAACAGCTGCTAGGGGCCCCTGGCCTTACTACTAGGAACAAGAAGCTACTAGGGGCTCCTGGCCTTACCACTAGGAACAAGAAGCTACTAGAGGCTCCTGGCCTAGGAACAAGAAGCTACTAGGGGCTCCTGGCCTTACTACTAGGAACGTGCGTTCAACAAGAACGCTTCGACAACAGCCAGGGACGACATGGGCTTTTGGGGGTCCTTTTGGTGTTTGGATGACATGGCTGTAGGGTTTCCTTTTGGTAGTTCCAAGGCGAATGTTCTTCCAGTTCACCTGCACCTTCAACTATGAGCTTAGCAACTGAAACATATTCATATCATATACATAATACATAATATATGATATTATAATATGCCTACTGTACAGAATGTCTGCCTTTTCATCAATAAAATCAGCCAAAAGGCAAAATTTGTATGACATTAAACACCTCTTGCTCTACGGATGTGACACCGTACAATCGAAGACAAAAGGAAGTCGACAAAACTCCGATCCATGCTAAAGGCTGGTCTAAGTTTGCTCTCTCAGTGAAATCTATATTTGTTTGTTTGCCATATTGACGATCAATCGTTAGATACCAATAGAAGTATCAATATAGAGTCTCAAAGTACTTCGCTACTAAATGAGTACTAAGCACCTGTATTTTATAGGGTACTGTCCCATCTTCTTTGGTACTTGAAGTCGGGTCCAGGTCATATGGAAAAGAGATCACCCAGGTTGGCGGTTCTGCACCGGGCTCGTCGCCTGTCATCCTCAGTCTTCTCACAGCAGCAATTCGTCTGCCCCATGGCGCCCTCCCGTCGTTCCCGTCTGCCGACCGACCGTGCTGGCCGCTGCGTGACCGCCGCGGAAGTTGCCAGCTGTTCCTACGTCGATTCGGATCCTGAATGAACACATCAGCCTGTCCCCGGCGATTTTGCTTTGGGGGAGGTCGACGGCATGTTCACATGTTCAAACCCTGCGAGTTGAGTCATAGCCCCGCTCGCCTTGAGGCTGCAATGCTAAAGAGGAAAGACTCAAATCTGCACCGTTTACCATTGTTTGCCCCTTGGAACTCTTGGACAACCAAAATCAAGAGACCAAAGAGAGTTCAGGTGGTTTCGGCTCCGATCGCCCATCATTTTTTTCCGCAAGATGACCTCTGCTTCCGAAGGCTCCGACCGTTGCCTTCCGGACCCCTTGGTGGACTCTTTCGTTGCGCCGTCTCACGTCCTTCGGCGGTGCTAGGCGTCGCAGGTGCTTCGGCTCGGCACACCACCATCCCAGACCTGGGCATCATGCAAAAGCTTGCTGGGACGAAAGCGCTGCTTGAAGAGGTCATAGGCCCTCAGCTGCCAATCCTTGCAAGTTGAAGATCGGGGGAATCAATATATGCCATGGAAAAGATGTTTGTAACAAACTGAGTCATAAAGCTTTGTTCTATCCAGTTCTATCTAGTTCTATCTCTTCGGGGTGTACACGCAGAAAAACAGTAACCGTCCCCCGGCTTGTCTTGCCACCAAACAGACCCCCCAGCCCACATGCAGCTGTGCTCGCTCGAGTCTCCACCAGAGCCGTTTTGTTCTGTAGAAGGCGCCAAAAGAAAGGGCTCCAGTTCTTCTCATGAAAGAGGTCCTTCTCGACCAGGACGATCTGTTCATAGAGTGCTTTGTCTATGCTGTTGACCTCCTCTGAAACCACCAAGAAGCCCAGACTCAAAAGCTGTGCCACCCGCACCGCCTCCAGGGGTTTGGTCTCCAACGGCTGAGGACGATTGCAAGCTTGGTGAAAGTTCAGAAACGCCGCATTCTTGAGACGCCCGAGCTTCCTCCAATCCTCCACCGTGTACACCTTCGGATAGCCTTTCGCTCCACCTTGCGGGATCTTTTTCAGCTCGTGCTTCTTGAAATACTTCAACTCTTGCAATTGATCCCAGCAAACTTGCCTCAACGGCCCCAAGCGCCCAATGAAGTACCATTGCAAGCTCTTGGGATTTAAGGATCGCGCCCTCCACTGTACCAGGCGATCGTTTTGCTCCTCCGTGGCCTCGGTCGGCATGAAGCCCGGCGGCACGTAGCGCACCAACGGCACGCCCAATGACGGGTCGTTGCCGCGCGTGTACTCCCAGACCTCGCACACACCGGAGCGGCCCGTGGGACTCGCCTTGGGCCATTCGCGCGGCTCCACTTGATACCAAATGCAATAGGTGCGGTTGGGAGCCATCTGCGTGCGGCAGCGGTCCATAAACGTGGAGGAGTTCAAGGTGCCGACCTGGTTGGAAAACCACGTGTGATGTGTTTTCTTACGTGGTTTTAGTTTCTCGAACTTTCACTTTGAGGGTTTTCTTACAGGGGGACGAAAGAAACAAACCATCCAGCAGGGCTGCATAGATGATCACATCGCCTGACTTCGGCGGAACGGGATATTGGAAGATGTCACGCCGGGTTTCTGGCAAGACTTTGAAGGTCTTGTAGCCACACTCTTCTTCTCTACTCTGCAAACCTGTGGATCGAAAGAAAGTCGTGCGTCGATGTTCATTTGCATACTGAATAGATGCCTTTTTTCACCCATGTCACGACGTGAAAACTCGTTTGGACACCCATTTAGCGCGTGAAAATCAACAAGTTTACCCGCCTAAGACCAAAGATTGGGTGATGGGCGCATACATCAGCTTCAACCGCCCGTCTGGACGTTCAGACTGCATGACGAAGATGTTGTAGGGATCAGCTTGGTCACAGCGAATGCCTTTGAAACAGCAGGAAGATCCGGTGGCCTTCAGCAGTCCAGCAACTCCAGTGGAAATGTTTGAAAAGAACAGCTGCTCAATCTGCACAGCTGTCCCTGAAGATTCCACGTTGATTTCCTATGATTTTTGGCTCTGTTTCAGATGTGCAGGGATGCTTACCTACTCAAGGATTTGGAAGGAAACCTTCAATATCAAGAAGATCGTATCCAATTTTTGACCCGTTCTCTTTTGCAAATCTACTACCCGCCTCACTGGACAAGTCGCTGACTGACCCGTCTTCCTCGCCCCGTTCCTCTCTTAAGGAACGAACCATTTCCAGCACCTTCCCAGAAATCGACAGCAGAAGTCCCACGGACACGATGCACAAGAGCCGGCAGCGCCATGAGCATCGCATCTCGCCCGACGGGCCATGGAGAGACAAAAAAGAACAAATCCAATGGACAATGGCATTGTTTCCATGTTCCATTGAAGAAAATCAAAAACAACCGGCCTTGTTCACTTACTTAGCGCCTGCGATCAAATTCTGATCGAGAAGACCGAAGGGGACGTTGATTTGATGGAAGGGAAGGGCGCTACTTCAGGCTTGGCAGATCAGAACCCCGCTGGAAAATACGGAAGCAACTGGGTTTGTCTCAACCATTGGATTGACACTAGGGTGGAGGCCATCGCTATTGGGAGCAAGGACGCTACGTTCGGGGCTCCTGGCCTTACTACGAACGGAGCAAGAAGCTACGAACGGAACAAAGGGCATCGCTACGAACGGAGCAATCGGACGCTAGTACGTTGGAGGCCATCGCTATCGTCGGGTTTTGACCTTGGGACCTTTCACGAGACCTTCTGTCTTCGGTCTCTCTGTGCACGGCAAATCGACCGAGGTATTGTTTGATCCTCGCCCATGCAGCGGACGTGTCCGTTGAGCCAAAAGACATGTTGGACAATGTTCGGTGTTTAGGAATGCGAAAGACGAAAGTGTTCGCTTTACGCCTGGGGCGCTCGGAAGCCAAGTGCGAAAAGAAACCTCCGAGAACGGGGTGAGGCGCAAAGACTCGTGAAGGCCAGGAGCATTTAGTGGCTTTTTACGTAGCCCCTAGTGGCCTACTTCTCCTTGCTATAGATCATACAAATCATCATATTGAAATCATGTGTCTTTACATCAACTCTGTGAATAATACTCAAAAAAGTACCTCACGCAGAACCCTATCCTTCTCGCATCAAAATCAAAGCGTATAGACATTAGATGAATAAATACAATTCCGCAGTCAGTTTTGATACCTAGTTCCAAATTTACTATAATTATCATAATAAACAAATATGCCGTATACTATAATTCCTCCAACGATACCTATATATATATAATTGCTTAACGTGTCTTATATATTGCACTGACATTAGATCTTGATTTTGTGTACACATGCAAAGAAAAATACTGTGCATAATTAAACAACATGGTTCAATCAAACACATATTTATACAAACATGTCGAGCCAAATAGACTTTAATTAATTAAAGTATAAACATATATCAATATAGAATGTATATAACTAGTCAGTAAAAACATATAATGTATAATATATAGATAGATAGATACTGTTCTATGCAACTAACTATATAATATAAATATATGTCTTGTCAAATGTATGTTGAACATTTAGTGTTTTACCAAATCTGTTCCGACATTCTATCGCCTCAGTCGATCCAACGTGGAATCGAAGTTCTGGATTTGTCGGAGGTTTCACCGTGAATCCCCTGTTCTGGTAGCTACGAACGGGGCTCCTGCCCCTACTAGTAACAAGAATGCTACTTACTACTAGGAGCTTTTTCATGACAGGTCCAGAATTTCCCATCCATCCCAAGGGATCCGGTATCCTTTGAACAAAAATCGCCCAGGTCAGCACAGCTGGTCTCCCTGGCGCCTGCTTTCGGCTGGGAGAACCCAGTGGACACAATAGAGCATTTAACTACTATTTATATATACCAGCAGTCACAAAGGGGTGCTTAATGGAGGTTAGGTGTGCCCATTATCCACTCACTTGGGGACCAAACACAACCCCTTTGTGACTCCTGGTGTAAGTTAGTTTATTACAGTAACAAGAAGCTACTAGGGGCTCCTGGCATCGCTACTAGGAGCAAGGACGCTACTAGGGGCTCCTGGCCGTACTACTAGTAACAAAAAGAAGAACAATCATGAACACGTGATCGCAAAATGTGTTGGGGGAACGATGGCAATATCATCTGCGCGTGAAGTCAACACGAACTGTTGTTCCCAGCTTCTTTTAAGCAAAGACCCTTTTTGGATGTCTTCTACACTCTACACAGTCCCAAAAGTGAAAAGAATCTGTGGAGCTTCATCCAGTTCACTCTACCAGGCCCCTCGGCGAGGAACGCTTCTCCGGTCGGTCGGTCAGACCGGTCATCGTCCGCGGTCGGTCTGGGTGAGCCCCACTGCAGAGTCTCGTAGTCAGGGATCGTGGCCTGGAGACGTGGAGAGCGCCCCCAGTCGGAGGGGAAGAGCGAGAGAAGACGAGGCTGGTCGGAAGAACATGTCCAGGGAGGAATGTCTTTTTCGACCGGTCCTCAACAGGCACACGTTTTGCTTCTTCAGCTATCAAGGGTCAATGGAGAACACTGCAAGAGGCAAGCATAATTGAGTTGTTGTCAATACCCCACGACACATGCGTCAAACAAGAATCAGTCAATGAGAGTGTCAATCGGGCTTGTCGCTTTGACAACTTCAATCAATGGCTTCGAAGGCTTCAATTGCTTCAACTGACTGTCTGACCACGTTGCAAGCATTTAAACCCATCCACACGTATAGTGAGCAGCAGGTTGGACCCACTCATCTTTCGGCCACAATCCACCCCTTCTTCTGCATCGAGAACAGTTGCTGTATACTTTAAACAATAACAAAAAAGGGGTCTTCAAGAGATGTTTGATAAGAATTACGTATCACGATGAACGCGCGACGTCGGCTCATCTGTCCAAACCACCGCTGAATGTATAGGCAGTGGACAACGTAGAACGTACTACATCGTCTACTTTCCACGCCACCAACAGACCCCATCCGTCGTGGCGGAGGCTTGGGGTCATCGCTGGGTTGAGAAGGGGGTCTTACACACAGCGGTTCTCTGTAAGACCCCCTTTGTGGTTGAGTGACTTACACTTGAGAGGCTTGTTTGCATGTTGGAGGCCATCGCTACTTGGGGTGGAGGCCATCGCTAGCAGGTTGGCTTCTTTGCATGCCATTGCGGCAATTCACTGGATGTTGGTTTGCCTTTTCTCAGGACTGTGCGACTCTCAAAGCTCACTAACAGTGTACTTTCATGTATTTTCGTGATCTGAACATGTCGATGTTGGTTTACGGAGTCCTCCAGCAATCATGTACATGTGCCCATTCCCTGACTTTAACATGACTGCTTTCTCAATAGGGAATTGACCTCTCTCTAGTAGAGACATGAACAGACTATAGGTTTCGAAACGTTCCTTTCTAGAGGATCAGTTGCAGTCTTCTCAACTCCACCTGCTCCTAGCAACACATGTGTTGCCCCATACGTTCGCATGCCAAAGCACGGGCAGCAAATGGTCGCGTCCATTTCCCTCAGGCTCCATGGCAAAGGTCTGGGCCACGTGGATCCGGTGGGCTCGATGTTCTTCCCACAGGTCTTTGTGATCGGAGTGGTCCAGGAACCGGGAAAGGTCAAAAGCAGGTAAAAAACCGCTTCCCAAAGCATTCCGACTTGCGTTGGCACTGTAGGCACTCTAGGCCCGAGAAGCCAGAGCAGGCTTGTCCAAGAGCGAAACAACTCAGAAATAAGGACAGTCAATTGATAGTGGTAAACCACAGGATTTTGTCATTTGTGTTTAATTCACTGTATGTTCAACAGCTTCTACCTGTTTGATCCCGTTTGCAATGAAAGTTTCCAGGGTCTTTGGTGCTTAGAGCTCTCCCTTCGTGGGCCAACGGGAACCCGGGTTCCCGCGAGAAGTGGACAAAGCACCTTTCAGCCATCACTTTTGTCAAGTTTGTGCTAGTTTGTGTCCTACCAGGTTTCAATACCTGCTATATATAGGGATGGTATGTTTCAATGTTTTCCCCATTTCAGACGGACTTGTTGTCCGCTTTCCCATCGCCTCCAAGCTCTTTGGCACTGGTACACACCTAGCGCAGACCGGTCGCTTTTTGGTGGAGTTGAACACACGCGATCCACACGAGGCAACATCCATGCCGGTGTGGCGGAGTGTAGACGCTGAAGCCACCATGGAAAGAGGAACCACCGGTCTTTTCCAAGACTTCCAACCTCTCCTCGGATGTTTGAGCGAGCGACTTAGGTAGGATGCTGCGATGTTGGGCGAGCCAGCAGCTTGAAGCACGGAAACGAAAAGCAATGGGCAGGTGTTCGACTACTTCTCATGTGGATTGAGCTGGGGGTGGGTGAACCATTGGTTTACTTGCGGGGGTGGGCAAAATTCGGAACCAAAAACATTCAGTAGCCGCAGAGCAAGGGTTAGGATAGCAATGACTTAGTACTAGTCTTTACCCTATAGACATGGATCATTCGTATATGGGATCTCTTGGAATCATATTGATGATTTCATGTGCATGACTCACAAGAGTGCTTGGCACCGCATGAAGCTGCTTGAATGACATGGCTCATGCACTCCCATGTTATGCTCAGAAAGAACACATGTTTAACATGGTTTAACGATCCAAAAGAAAGAAAACATTCATTCCTAGAACTACCATAACTACCATTGCATGGCCTCCCTACCATTTAGAAGTCACCAAGCTGAGCGCAAGCTGAGCGCAAGCTGATGGCTGAGGCCACAGCAGATGGGGATAATGTCCCTTCAGGTCGACAACGATGAAAGCCTCGGTGAAGTGGCACACAGCGCGTGCGCGCGCGCTGAGTCAAAGAGGTGCCAGAGGGGTGCGTTTTCACGCAAAGCTGTATGGCCACTGTGGCCTTGGAGGAGTGCAACATGAATGACTCATGGCATGCCGACCGCAAACGAAGCTTTGCAATGAAGCTTCAAGTTGTTTTACAGTCTTAGTCTTCCAGTACGATTCCCTCGTTACCTCTGGAAACGCGTATATATCAACAACACACCAAACCGCGTTGCTGATTTTCCTTACAGTGAGTGGCAAGTCAAAGCTCTAAAATGCTCTAACACATTCAATAGCAATTTCGCTAGCGAACACTTTGCCACAATGGATTCTTCCGGCCGCCCAGGTTCAGCGGCTGAGTGTGGTGACAGCCTTTGCCCCGAGGCGTCCGTCCGACATGTGCAGCCAGGGCAGCAGTAGCGATCCATGTCGACAATGGTCACGTGGGTGAAGACTTCATCATCCACGGCCTTCGGTCGAATGCCACGAATGCCCCCAGCTGGTTGACCGAAATCCTTCAACATATTGCTCCGGGCCGGTGGTTGACTATAGGAA